CTACAGTTTTAGAGAACATTAAAAAAAACTTGAAGATGTAGTTAAATTTTTTCCTTTGAAAAGGCCTAAAAATAAAAACGCGTTTCTATGGTAATATAATTTCGTTTTCATTCTTTGATAGATTGTTGTTGATAGATTTTAATTAATTTAATTAGTTAGTTCAATGCTACGGAAAGGGTGATATAGTAGTTATCGAAAAATGTGATACTTTAACAACAGCAAAGATTATGACGTTAATCAAAATTAATAACAAGCATCTATCAAAGAATGAAATCGAAATGATATTACCTTAGAAACGCCGTTTTGTTTTTAGGACTTTCAGGAAAAAAATTCAACCATATTTTCATGTTCATATGTTCTCTAAAACGGTGTCGAACTTTGGAAAAGTATAAACGAGATTAACCATTTTAGAACAAGCAAAAATTTTATGAAGAATGCATTTTTTGGATTTTTCTCAAAATAAAAAAGTTTTTGCTCTTTTAAGACAATCCGGGGACATACTGTAAATGCGTTAGATTTATTTAACAAACACAGTTTACTTTATTATTCTTATTAAGACTAGTATATCGGGTGCGTCTCAAAAGTGGCTCACCATTTTTATTTTTTCAGATAAAAAAACGAGATTTGGTAGGTTAGTATATGACATAAATCAGGAGTGATTGACGAATTCAGTTGTTTTCGGTCACTTCGTTTCACCGAAAATGACTAAAACTTTTGATTTTTAAATGACACCCTCGATATTTTTTTACTTCTTCGATAGAAAATAACACCCTGAGTAGAATGACATATCATATGTCAACTTTTGACAGACCTACTTACTAAATATAATTATACTTTAAATTTCAGTCTAGATCATTGCCATGGCTGTGTCAAAAACACTAATTTTTAATCAAGGAGCCTTGGAAAAATAGATTTGATCATCTAATGCTTTTCGTGTCTTGTCCTGGTTGGTTAAAAGATGCCCAATTTGTATTTTTAATCATAGCTCAAAGTTTTGAAATGGGACAGCCATGGTATATCAATATAACATAAAACGAGATGTAATTAACGAAATGTCATCGTAACAACAGCTATTTTAGAAACGTCTAGGTTTACTTATTTCACTAAGATTTATGAAAAAAAAATCCTTTGCCTCGGATACAGATACCGCCACGTTTTGGAAATAGCTCAAAACAAAACTAAATTGAACGAGGCAACAAAAACGCGAAAAAAACCTCCCACGCCCTCCTCACGAGTAGTTTTCAGGAATCCCCCTGAATCCAACTGTAGTGTGTCGAACTATTGCCGTGCGAGCGGTAGAGCGGGTTCGATCTCCAGCCAGCACGGTTGCTCTATTTATTTAAATAAAACTTTTCATTTATATAAATAGAGCTACCAGCTAGCCGCCACCTCAAAAAAGACAATGACAAACCATTTTGAGTATATTATATGCCTAGTACAGTCTCTCAAATAGTGCCTTTCGAATTCGGCGATAAACTGTAGGTCCCATGTACTTGTGAAACACTGATGACACACATCACAAGTACCTACATGCGAGAAGTCACCAACGCTCTTTATCAGAGCGAGGCATTGAAAGAGAAAATAAGGCTTATACAATTATTATTATTGTATTTAATTGTTTTCGTTTAGAAATTTAATTGCAGCTAAGTAAAGTCTGTCCAACGCGAGGATACATGACAGTGTCAGTTTTTGTCTGTCATTTTGATTCACAGGTAAATTGTATTTTCTGTCATTTTTTGGATGTCGTCTCTCGAAATATATCCTGACTCGTTGGATAGACTTTATAGGTAAGCTGTGTTATGGCCTGTAATATATCGGTATGATGCAAAAACTATTACGGGTTATAAATGAAAAAGAAAGGTTCTTATTTGAGTTCGATTAACAAACGAGAACACTAGAGATGTTAAGACGACAGTGAAATTAGTAAAATCGATCATTTTACTTAATGCAGCAAGTAAGTAACATTAGCCAACTGTTCTAAGTAAAAGGCTCGTACATCTCTAAAGTCAATTATGTTTTGCGCTAGGAAAAGCGCACCTTTTTTTCTAGATATGTATATCGTTTTTTATGTTTAACGAGTGCAGTTTATCTTAAAAAGTAATAATGAAATTTTTAAATTGAATTTTGCAATATATTTAAGGTGCACATGAGACCTTAGAACTTAATACTCGTGATTTTGAATCGCTTACTTCAAAAATTCACTACTTATTCGAGAGTTGCTTTGGAATGAGAAAGTTGTTAAACTATTGCACAAAATAGTATATTGTTTTATTAGGAGTAAAAATGACACTTTTTGTGGCGAGGCTTAACGTTTGGACTAGCTAATGCTCGTCCGACATACAGCTGAAGCACAAAAAGTAATTTTTACTCCAAATAGAAGTTTTAAACAATTTCAAACGTTCCAAATAATATAAAAAAATTTAAAAGTTATACCTTGCATGTAATTATATATCGAGAAACTATGGTTACGCTCGTTGAATTTGACACTTCATGTCAGTTAATAATATATTTTCGTACTTTTATGCCATTTTATGCTTATGCGTAAAAGTGCTTTACTTTTATGCCTAGGAGATAAAATTACATTTTTATATTGTTAATTACGTCGCAAAAATTAATAGGTACTTTTGTGACGTTTGACGTAACACTTTATTAGTTTTTTCCATACCAACTGTTAAAATTGCCTTATATCTATCAAAAATAGTAGATAAAATAGTACTTTAACCGCAAGGGTAGATTAAATGATACTTTAACAGCGAGGATAGGTTAACAACTTGATTTTTTCTCGCACGTTTATTAATTGCTTCCAATTTTGAAAATTTTGTATTCCTTTTCATAAGTTATTCGGGATTTAAATGGAAGTAGTTTGGATATGGCGTTTGTCGCCTCAGCCTGAATATCTGTTAGTAATTTACTTATTTCGTTTTGAGCCATTTCTGGCTCCGATTCAATCAGCAATCGACACGAAAGACAATTAAAAAATATTGATTTATCATATTTTGATACCCCTGTATACATTTAAGGATGGAATAACATTTTTCTGTAAAGTTTATTTCTCTACCTTTCAACTCAGCACAAGAATTAATTTTGAGAAAAGTAATGTACAGGGTGTTAATAATCTATTCTATTGTAGCATGCAAATTTTAATATCTTTAAATATCTCAAAAACCAAAGATTTTAAACATATTTAACCCTTATAATAAATACCTTTTTTGGGCCCAATAATCCAAAAATGAAATAAAATACCGCGTGTTCTAAAAGAAAAATATATAACTTTGGTATGGATCTTAGTTCTGAAACACCCTGTACATTTCAAAATAATTTTAAATTGTGCACATTACCTACCCACATATACCCATAAAATATTTTGTTTCTACATCTTTCCGTTTTCGTATAATCAATCGAGGCGAATGAGGTGCGCCACCCTGTATATACGTTGATTAGATAGTTTTTTGATTGATACATACATAAATTTGTGAACTTTTTATTTTTTAAAGGTAAATCACGAATTTTTCTAGAAAAAATACGATAAAACAATTTCTGTTAAATCTTTGACACAAAAACATTTCAAATTTATTATTTCAGACAAATAACTATCCAGTCAGCATGTTTAATTTTTGTCATTGATGGCATCTATTGATTATTAAGAATCCAAATATCTCGAGAACGGTTGCTGGCAGTTATTTTTACCAAGAGATATTTTTTACGTAGAAAAAAAGGCACAAATGTATATTTTTTCACTCACTAGTGTAATCCAGGGACGGACAAAAAGTTATTACTCTTAAAAACAGTTAAAAAAATATGTAGGTGGCGCCCCCTACAAGCAGGAGTCATATTGACATGAAAATCAAATTTCTCATGTTAAGAAACCCCCCTATACTAATTTTCATCCAAATACCGAATTTAGTTCAGAAATTATTAGAAAGAAATCAAAATAAAAATGAAACTTCTACACCCTGTATCTCAAAAACGAAGCATTTTAGGACATGAGTTTATAAGAACTTTTCTACTTATTTTTATGTGCAGAATATGCCGCCGAAGTTTCCGGAATACAGTTTGGACCACCCTGTATATTTTTATACACAAATCGATTTACCTAAATCGTTTAATCTTCACGTTAGTTGCTGTAATCCAACTGTTTAATAGTTATCTGTAACAACTTTTCCTGTATCAGACAAGAAAGTAATGCTCTCTCATTTCGAACTCCCCTTCCCCGAGACATTTCCTCGTATTCTCTTACTATGATCAAAGATGATGCATCACAAAAAACACTGACTCAAAATACTTTCGCAGCTAAATTAATCCTATATGCAGACGATGACTGGACCTCTTTTTTAGTGTCGAACTTTATTAATAAAACTGTCCAAGACAGCTGACTCACTGTTTCTCTCGCCCGAAAATAACAGGGGATTTCCTGAGATAAGAAAATGAGGGTAGTAAAATAAACCTATCGCCGAACGTTCGGTCTAGACAAAATGTCTAGATTTTATGGCCGTAAAATCTTAATAGAGAATCGTCTAGGTCGTTTCTGGTTTCTATTTAATTAGGCTGTTTAAACAACTAACTAATTATTTCGATGGTTATAGGTAATATCTTTATTAACTGAATTCTTAATGTTCTTAGGAAATTTTCATGAATTATTTTTATATATTTTTTTCTCGTATATGCGAGTACAGGGTGAGTCAAAGATATAGTCAAGTCCATTATCTCGTTAGTTTAGAGAATTACCAGAAAATGTTTAATAAAAAAGTTTTAGGGGTTGTTAAAATACACAATCCAAAATATTTTTTCTACTAACGGGCAAAAAGTAGCTATTTTTTACACTAGTGCAAAAAACATTGACATTCCACATTATTAATGACGAGTTGAACTAAAGAGAAAAATTTGTACCTTGATTTTGTTAATCCAAATATTGTTACTAATGCATGTATAGGGAATAATAACAATAAGGGATAAGTTTTAGAAGTGGACAATTTAACTTATTTTATCTTATTTTGTTTCAGACTGAGTTGAATTCGAGACTTCAGCTACGAAGAGGCAGGGGAGATACGAGTGAGGACGATGAAGGTCTGCCTCGGAGTCCGCTATGCGGTTCTCCGGCCGCGGGTACCGATGCGTATCTTCTACTCGAAAAGGCTGTTAATAAAGTGAGTAACCGAGATTTTATCAATTTTTTTATACCGCATTTTGGTTCGAAAGTAATATCTAGTTCTGCTGGATTCTACTATTTACAGTCTATATCACTAAAGATACTGATTGCGACAGAGTATTTTTATGCGGAAAATACCGCATGATTGAAAAAACGGCGTCAAGTTTGCTTGCAAATGACCATCGATGACATTCCCCATATAATTTTACATACAGGGTGTCCCACAATTAGTGCGACAAACTGAAAGGGGTTGTAGAGGGCATCAAAACAAGTCATTTGAGTATAGGAACCCATGTCCGATATTATTAAAATGAGCGGAAGGAACTTGACTGGACGTGCCCTAAGGTACCAACACGGACTGCACGCCCTATTATCAACAGGGAACAGGCGTGTGCATTTGTGTCTTCAACAGAATGGACGGAACTTTGAGCAGTTTTTGTAAATGTTTTGACTCCACCTCCTGCCAAAACGGCACATTTCCGGACATGGGTTCCTATACTCAAATGACTTGTTTTGATGCCCTCTACAACCCCTTTCAGTTTGTCGCACTCATTGTGGGACACCCTGTATAATATGACAGTAATCTTCATTTCATAGCCATTGCTGACGGCGTTTTTTATCATATTGTATATGTGTTGGGACTAAATGACCCGAGACAGTTCTAAATACTAATAATCTACAGTTTCTTCTAAATTATTGTCTTGGAACAAAGGATCGCTCAATTTCTAGATTAAATAAAGGCAGATAATTTTTTTGTGTCAGGTTTTATTTCAAGTGTTGAAAAACAACGCTAATATACAGGATGGTGATAATTTCGATGCTCAACATTGGCATTTCAGAAACTAAGAGAGATACGAATTCATTTAGATGAGACAAATGTTGAAGATTGATGATTATTAGTAGTTCGCCAATAACCTGTCAAGAACCCCGGTATATTAGATTCCGATTTATGTAAAAAAATATTTTAAATGGAAAAATATTAAGAGCCGTTGATTATATTCTATTCCAACGTAAGTTGGTAGTTTTATTTTTTTAACATTGGCCATTTTTAATTCGTTTCAGTAATGTTGAACTTATTCCAGAAACCATTTATCTAATTCTAGTCTGCTTTCGTTATCACTGGGATGTAAGTCGTGAAATTTTATTTTTTTATAATTTTATATACAGTATGAATCGCTTATACTAGACTTGCTATTGCCACAGTACTAGCAGCAATTATTTTGCATTGCCTTTTGTAATATTTCAGACGTGTAATATGAAAATTATGATTTATGACTTTGTTTATTAAAATGTATCCACCCCATAATATTGTTAAATTTTTGTGAAGAACTTGTATAAACAAAAATTAATTCATTGACAAATATAAAGAGTGTTAATATCAAATAAGTATTAATACCTAAATTTGTGTTTTTTAAACGGGGCTTCCTGTACATTTTCCATAACACAAAACAAAATGCTTTGTGCTTCTCAGAAAATGAAAATACTTGTACAATATTATGAGCACAGAATTTTTTTAACACCGTACCTAGATAATTTTAGAACACAATAGATCTGAGAAGGTCGCGGTGGATCAGGCCGAGAGCGACTTAATCGACGAATCTAATCTAGATAGTTTTTCTCCTAAATTTTTTCAGTAAATTTTATAATAGTATGCCTTGACAATTTGGGACCATTGTAGTAGAGGTGGGCAAAGATTGAACGAGTCGTTCATTTGAATGAGTATTAAAAATGAATCGTGAGACTCGATTCATTGCTTGCAATCCGGTTCGTTCAACTGAATCGTGGCCAGCACGGATCCGTAAGATTTGAACGATGAGCGGTGAAAAAGAATCGTGAGAATTGAATCGGATCACAATGCGATCGTGCGTACAAAGAATCGTGAGAATTCATTCATTGCTTACAATATGGTTCGTTCAATTGAATCGTGGCCAGCACGGATCCATAAGATTTGAACGATGAGCCGTAAAAAAGAATCGTGAGAATTGAATCGGATCACAATGCGATCGTGCGTTCAAAGATTCGTGAGAATTGATTCATTGCTTACAATCAATCAGTTCAATTGAATCGTGGCCAGCACGGATTCATAAGATTTGAACGATGAACCGTAAAAAAGAATCGTGAGAATTGAATCGGATCACTTCAAAGATTTGTGAGAATTGATTCATTGCTTACAATACGGTTCGTTCAATTGAATCTTGGCAAGCACGGATCCATAAGATTTGAACGATGAGCCGTAAAAAAGAATCGGATCACAATGCAATCGTTCGTTTATACGGCGCGGCGCGGCGCCGGCGATGATATAGGGATAAATGCAGACACAAAAATATTTTGACTTGAACAAAAGCCCTAAACAAACATCATGAGCATAAAATGCAAACGATAAGAAAGTTATTTACAAGAAAAAAACTTATTTATACTGTGCTTAGTACGGGAGTATCTATAAGGTAGTTAATTTTTACGTTAATATTTTTGTTGAAATAATATTACCGACTATTAAATGTCGGACTAAAAGACGAAATCGTGTTTTATGCAACTCCAAATAAATATTGTTGGCCTCTGCTCAATGTGACAAAAAACAGCGTCAGCGATGGTTATAAAATGAAGATCGTTGTCATTTTATATGTAAAATTATATGGGGAATGTCAACGATGTTCATCTAAGCCAACTGGATGCCATTTTTTTCAATCATGCGGTATTATATACTACTTATTATATGATTATTAAATCGGAATTAAAATATGGCTCGAAAAATATTAAATTTGTATTAAGAAGTCTTTAACAAATAGTATATATAAATTGGATTGATAATTTAATATTGTTGGTAAAATAATCATTCCAATTACTCCAATGCCATAAAGTGTTGAAAAACAAATGAAAGAACTGTATATTTCTTCTTCTGGTTCCTTAAGTAATTGTCCGGCCAAATTATCGCCGGTAGTGCCAGTTACGATTCTTGTTTTTATGAACTGTAAATTGTGCATGTGGTTTGTTCAAATGAACGAATCGTAGGAGTCGATTCAATATGAGAAATTGAATCGTGTGATTCGATTCACTAAAAAGAATCGTAATGTCCATCACTACATTGTAGTACTATAAATAAAAGAAACTATTGAGAGATTGGTATGTTTCACTTCACAGAATCTTGTAAAACACGATTAAAAAATCTATTCAGTCGACACAATTGTCTATTTTTTTTTACTTATTTTCGACTTTTTTTAATGTAAGTTTCATTTAATTAATTATTTAATTTCTCAATGGAATTCCTATAATGATTGGTTTGAATCGACTCGTTACATCTGTACAAAATTACGCCTCGCATTGATCTTCGATAAAATTAACATTTCTAAATGGAAACTCAATTTACTCGTTCCTTAAGCGGACGCTAAGTTACATATGGCGTACATTTTACAGATATTTTTTTCACGTGCACGACAAATATGGACCAATAGTTTCGATCAACTTATTTAATCTGTCGGATTATGGCGTTGTTGTATAACAAAACGTAATTACACGTGATTTAATGTATTTAACTTAATTAAATCTGTAATTATTTAAAATAACTATTTTTGAGATATCGCGATTAAATTTGAAAGACGTTAATATGTAATTTTAATGTTTTTTGAGGAAAAACTGTAAATAAATACGTTGAACAAAAAAATGCAGCATTTTGTATATCTAAAAATTACATCTTTGGTTTGGTTCAACCTCTACAAAGTTATTCACGCTATTCGACACGGAATATTGTAGCCAGATGATCAAATTTTTTGAAATTGTTAGTAATGGAATCGTTGGAGGACTACTAAAGCTTCATTCAGAACTTCGCAATTAGTGGAATAAATTAGTGGTTTCAATAATTTCACTTTATACTTTATAGTTTACGATCATTCGCAATGTTTAAAAAACACAATTAAAATTAATAGAATATTTTAGCAACAGCTTGCGGTAATCAGTTGTATCCATAGAGAGAGCCTAATATTTAGCTTATAAAACAATCAACTTTTGATTTCTAACCAGCTTTTTCTCTTGACGAAAGATAAAAGCCAAAATGACATTCCTCGCAAAGTATAATTAGTGGAAATATTGAAAGTTTGTTAACTTTTTCTACTAATTGAAAATTCCTACCACTAATTTTAACGTTCTGAATGCTTACATTCAAATTAGTGCTTTAAGCTTCATTCAGAACCTCGCAATTGGTGGAATAAATTAGTGGTTTCAATTAGCGTAGAAGTTTGTTCCTTTAATTTGAATGTAAGCATTCAGAACGTTAAAATTAGTGGAAGGAATTTTCAATTAGTAGAAAAAGTTAGCGAAATTTTGACTTTTCCACTAATTATACTTCAAAATTTGCGAGGAATGTCATTTTGGCCTTTGATTATCATCCGTCAAGAGAAAATGTTAGAATCCAAAAGTTTATTGTTTTATAAGCTAAATATTAGGCTTACTCTATGGATTCAACTGATTACTGCAAACTGTTGCTAGGATATTCTATTGTTACGGATTCCGTGGTTCCACTAATTTAAACTCACGATAAACTACTTAACGAATTTATTTTTCTCACTATTTACACACAGTTTGTACTATATAATTACAACACACAATAATTAACTATCTATAAAATTCCTTCGCCAAATTGTCACGATTTACAATTTAAAACGCGGTGTTTTCGAATTCCAAATTGTACCAACTGCCGATCGCGCGCCTTTATATACCCAACCAACTGTTTCTGGAAGTTTCTATTTCTAGAATTCTGTAGTATTTCTTTTACTTGCTAGTAAATTCTTTCCAATGTAGGCAACCAGCAATACGCGTTGCGGTTTAGTTTCTCGCTTCTCCGACAGATGGCGCCACCACCTTAACACTATTAATTAATTCGTTTTTTTTAGACATTGTGAATGATCGTAAACTAAAAAGTATAAAGTGTAATTGCAACCAGTAACTTATTCCACTAATTGCGACGTTCTTAATGAAGCTTTAAAAGCTACAATTTTTAAAATTATTTTCAAAAGGTACAGAGTGTCCCAAATAAATAAATATCAAAAGTAGTATTTTTTTAAAAGGTACATCCTGTATATTATTACATTTTTAGTTTCTACGATTAAAATAAAGATAAATTTGATTAAGGTTTACCGCACTTAAAAACCTTACCATTTTTGAAATATTTTTAAGATTTCGTGAAAATGCAGTAACAATTTTAATGCTTCATTTCTCTAGGCGGATGGAACTTAACAATGAATGAAAATTGTAATTAAGTACTTAATGGTAATGGCAGAATTGGGACATTTAGTTGTCGTTCAATATTAATTCGCAATTTATTTTCTGTCGTTCAGTTATTAAAAAAATGAATTAATTTATGGACCGGTTTGAAATTTAACCCACAAAACATTAGAAATTATTATTTTATTTATTGTATATTTAGTTCTTATTGACATTCTAATATGTTTCGTATGGTCTAACTCCATAGGTTTCGTAAAGATCTTTCCAGAAACTATATTTTTCCTTCTTGGGATCCTTTAGTATCTGCACATTTTCACCGATATCCAGGTATTGAAAATTCGATTCAGTAACCAAAGGCCAAGTCACGTTCTGTAAAATCGAATCTTCAGAAGGAGTTGGATTCCTGAAATATTTTTTGGATAATATTTATAATATAATTAAAGTTATGGTTTAATTACTTGTAGTATGCAAAATTAACCCATAATCTTACTATACGTTCGTGAACTAGTTGGTCATCTACAGGAAAATTTTTGGGGTTGTTTCTTTCAAATATGTAATTCCCTTCTTCTGTGTGAGTTACATTTCCAGAACCTGTATAAAAATATGGAATTAATAAATAATATAACAATGACTTATTTTATACTGTCCAGTGTAGTGTTTCTTATATTAGCAATTTGCAGCCGATAATAGATATTTACGGTATAAGTTCGGTAAATCACACAACTTTTACAGTATGAGTGAGATGTTTATGTATACAGGGTGTACCAATTTTCCTTGGACATACAATGTATTTTTGGAATCAAAATAAGTTTATTGGACACAATTTTACCTCTATAAAAAAGTGCTGCGTTTGTCCGTTAGAGGGCATCAAACTTTAAAAAAACTTTAACCCTTTTGACACTGCGGGGACATATACGTCCCAATAAAGATTCTATATAGACGAATATCAAAACTACGCTTTAAAATGCATTGGGATGGGATTATTCAGTGTGGCTCATGTCTTGCTCGCCGAGTTACATACCTTTTAATGTTTATGTTTACAATGGAACATTGCTAAGCAGCTCTATGTCGACAAGTACACGTGGCTGCTTGGAATTTTGGAGAAAAAACGTGTAAAATAGGTGTGTAAATTAGTGAAAATTACTAGCGATGGGAACTATCAAATGAATTAGACTATCGAATGGTTAATGAATGAATGATTTCAACTATCGAATGGTTTTATTCGAATAAAATCATTCATTCATTTGTAAACTAAAGCATATGTGACAACCTCGCCGTGCGACTAAATGGTTATCGTTGAGCCACGACTATCGAATGCTTTTGATAAATGAAATTTAGTATTCGTTTGATTTTTGTATGCGTCAGTGCATTATTGGTTCTTCCAAATTTTTATAACTTCGCCGTATAAATACTGTGCTATTTTTGCGTTTATTAAAATAGTTAAAATACTAAAATAGTAGTTATTTTTTAATTTTATTTATTGACGATTGTGTGCATGTGAAGGTGGTCAAAATTTTTCCGATAATTTGTGTGGTTTTCCGTAGTCCGATCTTTCAATTATTTAATTTTATATGGTATATGGTCTAGTTTTTAATGGGAAATTTTGAGAAGTAGCAATTTTTAAGAGAGATGAGATGAACTTACAATTAATTTTAAAAATACATATTTGTATTTTAGATGTTTTAATAATATGAATTAGTTGAACTTAATAATTATATTTAAGTAATGTTGTTAAATAAATGGGGGGTTATCGAACTCAAACTATGGGGTGAGAAAATTAAAATGAAAGTTTTACACGTGCCAATTTAAAAAAAAAGTTAACGATGTTTGTATTTTGTTTATGGTAATTCTCTTACATGTAGTTTTTTGCGAAGAAATATTTCATTTATTTTTTAAAGTAAATGCCAGTAAAAGTAAATATAATTTTTAGTAATATAAAGCACCTAATATAAATAATTTTGATTTCTAATTTTTTATTTATATTTTCCTTCCATTACACCGCATGCTTAGAAAATTAATAAATGTTTATATTTCATGATTTTAAAATTTGTTGTTAATATAGCAAATTAGTTCTGTAATTATTATTATTTAATAAACCAACGTTGCCAAAAATTTAGAGACTATATTATTTTTAAATAGGATCTAATATAAATAATTTTGACATCTAATTTGTTGTTTATATTTTGCTACTACTTAAAAAATATTTATATTAAATGATTTTAAATTTTGTTGTTAATAGGTATAACAAATTATTACTGTTATTATTATTTATTAAACCAGTCTTTGCTTAAAAACATTAAAAATCATTTTCCTACATCCAAAATAACAAGTATTATTGCAGTGTAACAACAGAATATTAATAAAAAAAATGCAGAATATATAGACATACTATCCCTAACTAACTAAAGCCAAACAATAATATTCTTTGCTAATATCAACTAATACCAAAATATGGCAACAGCGCCCTTCATAATGTATTTTCTATGTAAATACTAGCACCTCAATAAAAAAAATAATGTGTCCTTATCTATATCTGACTCCGCAAAAAAATCAAAGATGTCGGCTTCTTTCATAGCATTGCCACCGACCGCTGTCGGGTTTCTCGGAAAGAAACCTACGTCGCCGGGCGACAACTAAAATTCAGTTAATATTTTATTATAATCGATCCTGACGAATAAATGAATGAATTTTATAAATGAATGGTTTTTGCTGCCGAATTACTAGAATACAATATTTCAAGGCAGATGACGGATCTATTCGATAATTTTTATCCGAATAGTTTTCAACGAATGTTTTCTTACTAACTATCGAATTATTCGAATGAATTGCAACTATCGAATGTTTCGATAGTATTCATTCGATAGTTCCCACTTCTAAAAATTACTATGAAATAATGCTCTACCAACAGTATGAGCAAAAGATAAGTATATAAGTTTTGTACGATAGTTACATGAAAAAAATGTGTGGCTGGGATGCATTTGTCCCACAGTGTTATAATGCAGGATATATTTATCCCTGCAGTGTTGTAACGCGGGATATACTTATCCCTGCAGTATGTACAGTTATGTGGCTGGGACCAAACAATGCTACCCAACAATTAATTTGAGCAGTAAAAACCGAAAAATATTCAATTTCGGCACTGTCTTTGTCGGTGGTTTTGTCGGCAACGGCGGGACATAGGAATTAAGAGTCTGTGTACTTCCAACTGACTTCGGAAATACTATATTTACTACTGGAAACATTGTCAATTGTCAGGTAGTAATATAAAATTTGAATTTCGTTCAGAATGCTTTGGGATATCAGTGCAACGCAACTGTTTATGTTCTAATTTAATTTACGTGAAAGTCGAATCAGGATAATTGTTCACTGAGATAGAAAGAATGTTTTTGTGGCAATATTTTGAACAAAAATCATATACCTACACCCCTATAACTTTTTTTATTTTTTTAGACAAAAAAGCGAGATACATATGTGACATAAATTAGGATTGATTGACGTATTCAATTGCTTTCGGACACTTCCTATTTCACCGGAAATGACTACAACTTTTGATTTTTAAATGGCACCCTCGGTATTTTTTTTTACTTTATTTGATAGAAAATGACACTCTGAATAGAATAACATATGTTAACTTTGACATTTTCGCATATGGCTTATTTGAAATTGTAACATGCGGTTCATAATTAAAATACAATTTTTTTTAAGTGAGAAATCTTGTTTTTTTATCTGAAAATTTAAAAAACTTATAGGGGTGAGCCACTTTTGGGACGCACCCGGTATAAGAAAATGAACCCGCACAGAGATATAAACCATAAGTCATGTTTATTACCTGGATATCGGTGATCACTATTTCCTCCCATGTCTCCAGAATACGAAAATATATAAAAATAAACATCTGTATACTGAGATTGTAATTCGGCATGGCTAATTAGCGATTTCTGGAAATTTTGGTCTGTGTAGTACTGAAAGAAAAATAATTTTATTACTTTTTCAAGGAGTAGTATGTCTCTAATCTCTAATCAGTTTTATTTATTCTTATTACAACGTCTCAAAAGTGGCCCCTCTCTATAACTTTTTTATTTTTTCAGATAAAAAAACCAGATTTGGTATGTTAGTATATGACATAAATTAGGATTGATTGACGTTTTAAGTTATTTTCGATCAGTTCCTGTTTCACCGGAAATGACTACAATTTTTGATTTTTAAATGGCATCCATGGTATTTTTTTACTTTATTCGATAGAAAATTACACTCTGAATAGAATGACATATCATATGTCAACTTTTGACATTTTCGCATATGGTTTTTTTGAAATTGTAACATGCGATTCATAACGACAGTTTGACTCGAAATACCAAGTGTGTGGTACCAAATTATTCGTAAAAAATGCTTTTTTCAAATATGCTAATGAGCCACACTCGTTCCATTTGAAAACATTGAGATATGATTAAAAATATGACTTGGGCATTTATTTTTCCGCGGCTCCTTGATTAAAAATTGGTGTTTTTAACACAACCATGGCATAGATTGAAATTTAAAATATGTTTTTTAAGCGAATATATCAAAAGTTGACACATGATATGCCAGTGTCATTTTCTATCGAATAAAATAAAAAATTACCGAGGGTGCCATTTAAAAATCAAAAGTCATAGCCATTTCCGGTGAATAATTTATGTCATATACTAACATACCAGGTCTCGTTTTTTATCTGAAAAAATAAAAAAGTTATAGAGGTAAGCCACACTTTTGAGACCACCCGGTGTATCCATATAATATTTCTAAAATATCTTACTTGAATACCACTAAGTAAGTTGTCCTGCATATCGCCATTGGGTGAATAGATATTTTTTATTTCATCTCCAATCTTGGATTTCGTTTGGTCATCTGCCACATGCATACCTTGAGGTACTAGCAGTGCATGATCAAGATCGTACATTGATAAGGTGTATTGAAGATGAGCTGCAAATGTTTTTGATAAAAGAAAACCAGTCTGTTGTTAAAGACTTGTTAAGAAAGTATACCACCCGGTTTATATTAAAAACAAATGCGGTAATCTTTAAATCAATGCATATCTTGAGGTACTAGAAGTGCATGATCGAGATCGTATACTGATAAGGTGTATTGAAGATGAGCTGCAAATGTTTTTGATAAAAAAAATCAGTCTGTTGTTAAAGACTTGTTAAGAAAGTATACCACCCTGTTTATATTAAAAACAAATGCGGTAATCTTTAAATCAATGCATACCTTGAGGTACTAGAAGTGCATGATCGAGATCGTACACTGATAAGGTGTACTGAAGATGAGCTGCAAATGTTTTTGATAAAAAAAATCAGTCTGTTGTTAAAGACTTGTTAAGAAAGTATACCACCCTGTTTATATTAAAAACAAATGCGGTAATCTTTAAATCTGGGTATTCAATAAATCAAACAATTCATCATCATAAAACATATTTGTTTTTGAATAAATAAAATTAATTGAAGTGTATTGGTACTAGCAGTGCATGATCGAGATCGTACACTGATAAGGTGTATTGAAGATGAGCTGCAAATGTTTTGATAAAAAAATCAGTCTGTTGTTAAAGACTTGTTAAGAAAGTATACCACCCTGTTTATATTAAAAACAAATGCGGTAATCTTTAAATCTGGGTATTCAATAAATCAAACAATTCATCATCATAAAACATATTTGTTTTTGAATAAATAAAATTAATTGAAGTGTATTGGTACTAGCAGTGCATGATCGAGATCGTACACTGATAAGGTGTATTGAAGATGAGCTGCAAATGTTTTTGATAAAAAAAATCAGTCTGTTGTTAAAGACTTGTTAAGAAAGTATACCACCCTGTTTATATTAAAAACAAATGCGGTAATCTTTAAATCTGGGTATTCAATAAATCAAACAATTCATCATCATAAAACATATTTGTTTTTGAATAAATAAAATTAATTGAAGTGTATGTACTCATTCATTAGCTATAAAAGAATGCCACCTACTTTATGTAGGCAGACATACTGTAATAGCTGTGTTATTACTGTATTGCAAAGAGAACAATTGAAAATGTAATCTTTAGCAATGTATACACGATAGATGCATAAAATGCATGAGTAAAAACGCATATTTATGAAGACATACACATCAGTAACTTTAGAGAAATAAGTACACATAGAGGTGAGCTAAACATAGTAATTAATAATTAACTAGCAATAAAAAAATCATTCATTAATATAGTTGTGATATAAAAGCGTATTTTTAGTGTCAAATATTCTAATTAAAAAATATAAACTAAATACAGGATCCACTCTTCATCCACTCACACTTTTTTGGTACTCCCTGTACAAGTGTACTTTTAGTTATCGTAATCAAGGGCCCGATTTTTAAATTCATTGTTGCCAACCAAGGGCATATTCGGCGCCGTGCTGACTAACTGGAATTTAAATTTCGCGCTGGAGATTCAGGTGGTAGTTCTACTATAAGAAATGTCATTTATTTATTTGTTTCCTGACATTGTCATTCGTTTTGACACTTTAGTTTTGTATTACAACTTTTTGGTTTAAATAAAATAGTGTTGTGATACTTTAAGCTTGAAAATGTTTACTAGCAGACCTTGCAGTCGAACATTATTCTTTTTAGAACCTCTTTTAGTGTGAAGTGTACAAGATAGCTTAACAGCCGTAAAAAACTCATCGCAACTTTCTTAGAATAAAATAAATACCAGTTAAAGTACTTGCACTTATTTCTGGGACACCCTGTATAGTGATATTACATTACATTCCATTACACATTAAGGATATTTATTTATACTCCATGTTTACTAATTTTTCTGAAGCTACCATAACGTTTGGCCCTGATTGCTTCGTGCTATTTTACGAAATAGTACGATAAATACAGGGTGTCTCAGAAATAAGTGCAAGTATTTTAACTGGTAGTATAGTTCAACCCCAGAAACACGCCTATGAGGTTTTTTTTCGCAAAAAAAAAATTTTGTAAATTCGAAATTTTTTGAAAAACTTTTTGTAATTTTTTTTAGTTTTTAGTTAAAAACATAATTTCTTAAATTATCAAGGCAACATACTATGTATTACATTAAATTTACAAGAAAGAAAATCCAGAAAAGATCCAGTGGTTCTCAAAATTTTAGCAAAAAATCATTTTTTTTTTGGAAATTTTCAAAGTAAAATAACTCGATAAAAAAGATAAAGAGAAAATGTGTTTCTTTTATCGAGATCTACCACCCCTTAAAATACATGCACTTATTTCTGGGACACTCTGTATAAGCCCGTGTTATAAAAATTAGTTCCCACGTTTCCTGAAATACACCGAGACGCGCCGTGATTGGTTGTTTGTTTTCAGTTTATAATCATCTGCTGATGATGCTAACATGGTTAGCGAAACGCGCGTCCAGTGTCAAAGTAAAAGTGTTTTGGTGTATTGTGGTGATTTAGTGTTTTATTTTGCTGTGTAACACCAAAGGTTCCAACCCTCAACTGTAATGTTTGTTTTTTATTATTAATCTCGGTCTATTTGGTTCTATTTCGAGAAACGTGGGAACTAATTTTTATAACACGGGCTTATATTTGAGTTCACTTCTGAAAGTATTTCCAGAAATGTTTTGCTAAATGTTTCACTAAATATTTTCAGAAATATTTCGTAAAACATTTCGGGGATAGTGTAGGGGATGTTTATAACTGGTAAGACTGTATTACGTGAACATTTTTGTCATGAATTCAGAACCGTTAAATCATGAATCTTTATGGTCCTGGCAAAGATATTGGAACACACTCAACAAATTAATTATTGTATTATTATCGGTCCCTAAATAAAAAATTAAGTATGTTAATTAAAATAGGTCTTACTGTCGTAACTCATTAATCCTTCCTCCGAACAAGTTCCAATTAAAATCGGAACTTGATTAAAACTTCCGGATGCAAAAGCTTCGTAGGGATTAGTAATTAGAAAGGCTCCATCGTGGACAACTTCGACTACGGGCGCATAGAAAAATCCTTGTTGTAATTGTCCGTTGAGGATGCCAGTCACACCAGGCTCAACATAAGGTTCAGCCTGGAAAAGGTAATACGTGTTTTATACAGTTCTGTATATGTCGGCGTCATATACTGAAATCCGTCATTCCCTGAAATGTCTAGTCATTTCATGTATTCCCAGCCAAAAAGCGTTACTCTTATATCTTGTCCATCACTGACTTTAGCGTTAAAATATAAATAATTTACCCAGTCGGTATAGTTTCTTGACGCATCATCAATAGCTTTAGCGTCTACGGTTTGTAGGTAGGACAGAAGCTGTTGAGAGTCTCTGTTCTCATCGAATTGGGAATCGATGAAACTAGCCGTTTTATAGGTGATTTCGGTTTGGTTCCTTTGAAAAGCCCATGGGCACAGGGCCGTTCCAGATTCCAGTATCGCTGCAGTATATAAACCTAAAAAAGAATTATTCGAATTTTATACATTTTTTTTGTTTGAGTTATACCGTGCCGACAACTCTTACTTTTGGATCGGTAGTTACATGTGTGGAAGTAAATCGCATAGGGATCTTATTAAGTTGGAGTGAGAGAAGTGAGACGGTGTGCTGTTGCGGCGTTGTCACATTTCTCCGGTACGCCTTTCCCTATCAAGTAAAATCACGATCGCAAACCGCTTATTTTTAAGTTTTTTTTTCGAAAAGATAACTAGATAAAATCATTAGATATGTTTTTGGGCATTTGAAATGGAATTATAAGGATATCGTTAAGGTATCCATATTTTTTATAACGAGAAAACGACAGTAATCGCGATAATTTAAAAACTCTTTTTTATCACATAACATGCGATAACTCAAGAACCACTTTAGATATTAAAACTTTTTTTGAAGTTCGGATTTTTTACAAGATGTTTAAATAAGAAAAATTCAATAGGCTTGTTTTTTAGGCAAAAAATTAAAAAAAAAACATCTATTTACTTTTAGTGCATAACAATTTTCAGCAATCGTGTAATTTTTTTATTTGTAAAGATTTTCGCATACTGTCTGCGAAGAAAATATAACAAAAATATTAAGAAAGTTTTTGAAAAAAACTACAATCAATTGTTTCTAATGGATTTCGAGATATCGATTTTTGAATTTCGGAGTTCTAATAGCGCGACCACTGCCAAACACCAACTCAATTCCATTTATTTCTACAAAAAGTTCAAGTGTTTCTAACTTGCACTTAAAAATTTATAAGCTATAAGGAAAATTACAACGACTCGTTAATAAATAAACAAATAAAGTATCACGAGACGTAATTAAATCGTAAAGCTAAACGCATGATATACATACATACTACATTCTCTAGAATTTTAAGTACTGATTGGGTCGACCGGTCGACCGCGACGAATCTGCTGTATACCCTTTTACGTCTCTTAGCAATGTGCACAGATTCTCGGGTAATTTGACAACGTTTTTACTGTTCTCTCTTTCTTCACTACTTTATAAACGCATTATACTCTTCTTAAACACGGAAATCTCGACTCAAAACTAACCTTTGCCAGCCCTTAGTATGGATTTTCTTACCATAATCAGTTATATTTTCTTACCTTTGGAACTAGCACTCAAAAGTTGATATGCTACGGAAGCTCCCCCAGCAGACTCTCCAAAAATGGTAACTTTGCTGGTATCTCCTCCAAAATATGCAATATTATTTTGTACCCATTTCAAAGCTAAAGTCTGGTCTTTTAGTCCGGCATTTCCAGGAATAACTGTGTCACCAGTTGAGAAGAAACCTATAAAATCGTACTAGATCATACAGGGTGTATTTTACAAGTGTGGGCAATAAGGCTGTTAAGTTCCACACAAAAGCTTGCTTGCCTATGTGTAACACGTAGCCACTCCCACAAATGCCATTAAAATTTTGTTGTATCTGTTATTACTATACATTTTTGTACAAGAAGAAGCCAGATCTGTCATGCGTAGGTTAATTCATGATCAGCCAACCATCAACCATGAAGCTAATCGAAGAGCTGAAAGCAGATGGCTAGAATTCTGTAACCTTGACATAAAACCGTTACGTTTTCAAAGCGGTAAGCGAAAGTATTCGTTTAGTAGAACGCCAAGCAGTCGGTTTTGGTTTCTTATTGCCATGCGAATCGTTTTCTGGATACACGTTGAGCATATTGGTAGCATAGCATATTGGTAGCATAGCAATTTCTCAGGTATCTGATTACTAATGGTCAAATGTGGATAAAACGATGAAAAATGTCAATGTTACTTGAATTTCATAACCTATTGTTGAGTTCTGTCAACCTATTTTTCTATGGTATAGGCTTCTGTGGTATAGGCTGTTAGTAAGAAGTTTCACTTCAAATATACGCACATTGTGCACACCATAGATAAAGGAAATAAATTTAGATTGGAATGCCCGTCAAAATTTTGGGTCGCGACCGTTGTACGCGATCTGGCGCTGCTATAGCGGTTGCTAAGAACAACCGCAAACAAAAACAGAAATAATTTTCTCTTGTCCATATCTCTTGTCAAAGTCAGAATCTTCAAAAATTACAAAATCTTTCAAAATCTAAACCGCTCTCATTGAAAAAAATCCGAAAAGTGTTTAACGCGTCCATTTTCAAAGTAATTATTGCTATCTTGTGAGTTTAATTTAAGTTTTATTTACTCAAACCCGTGATAATTGTGAAAAAGTGGCATTAAAAACTTAAAAAGCTGTGCTGTGAACTGTGAACTGCAAAAACCATCGTGGATCGTGGCATAACGTCGGTTTCCAATGTTTCATAGGTATTTCATACATGTCCTTATATAAAATAAAGTTTCTTGTATGCAACCACACTGTATTTTATTTATAAAATTAAAAGAAAATAATAATAATTTTGAATAAACAATATTTGGCGATATAATTCCGGAAAAAGCCGAACCGCTCCGAAATGTTCAAAAGCTTTGGGTCGCGATTGTTGCAAGAATAGCGCCAAATAGTGTTTACATTGTCCTTATGGGCACGCTCCAATTTAAACTTGTCTCATTTATCTATGGTGGGCGCATACAATTTTTTTCCAAATAGTGGGCCACCATTATCTAAAATGTTTCTGAAGGATATTTATTTTTCTAATTGTTTACCGAATGGTCCCAATCTGTAATTAATGCTGACCATAACGACTTTGCTGTCCATTAGATAACCAGGTCCAATCCCACCCGTATAACTTTTGGTCTGACCAGATCCCCAATAAAATCCACCTCCGTGTATGTAGACCATTACTGGATATTTTTCATTATCATCGTTTAATGGATTCTACAAAATAAATCTTGAAAACTCATTTTTTTCCATTAAAAAATAAAATATTTTAATTTTTGTTAGAGTTATATGACGGAATACAAAGTAAATGTAAAGAATAAAAAAACAACCACAAAAACTGCTGTAAAAACGCAGTTTTAGGGAATTTAGTTTATTTTAAGAACTAACTATACTTACGATAGGTGTGTAGACACTCAATGTTAAGCAGTCTTCATCTTCATCCGAAGAGTCTACGTTTACCTGGTAGCAAATATTCTTCTCATATGTTGCGTCATACACGTCAGTCCAAGGATCTACTGGAACAGGGGCCTACAAAAACGTTATACGGGTATTAAGATATTCTTTGGTTATACATAACCAGAACACGGTATTTTAATCTTTATTGTAATTAGTGATTAGAAACTATATTTGATACCAATTAAACTTTTAGTTACGTAATCGAAGACGCGATTTTTAAATTCATTGTTGCCAACCATACCAACATATTCGTCGCCGGGCTGACTAACTGGAATTTAAATTTCCCGCTGGAGATTCAGGTGGTAGCTCTGCTGTAAAAAATGTCAAGTTGCCACATTTATTTATTTATTTCCTGACATTGCCATTCGTTTTGACACTTTAGTTTTGTATTATGAGTTTGTGGGTTAAATGAATTGTGTTGTGTTGTGATACTTGTTTAGTGCGAAATGGATACAAGATAGCGTAAAAAAACCATTGCAATTTTATTAGAATATTTAAAACTGGAAAGCGGTAGTAATAGCCCTTTATGTCTGTTAAGTGCTGTTAAGGAGGTGGATTTTGTCGATGTAAATAATAACTGTTTATATATTTATAATTAATTTATTTTTGTTTCCTAAAATATTTTGATTAAATGAAAATATGTAAAAGTGAGCAACGCTGTGGCGGTCAAGTCATACTAAAGACTACAAAATTAGAGAGAATTTAGTAATGTTCATTATAGGTATTGTGCATCTGAAATGAAAAATCTAATACCTCTAACTGTATCAAAAAAATGTAATAAAACTAACTGGGTAATATAATTAAATTAACGAAAAACACGACAATTAGGCTAAAGAGAAGGAAATAACAAGCAAAACATAGAAATATGGCTTCCTCTCTGCGCCAGTCCTAATTATATTTACACTCACAAAATGGAAAGCAACAGGGGGGTTTGCTTTTAGTGCTATTTTATGTTTCATTTTAGTGTGATGGAATATTATATTAGGGCATAATAATAGCTTGAACATAACCTATATAAAAACCGGAATAAAAACTTTACAGAGATCATCTCTACAGAGTGCCTCTCCTGGGACATTTTACACCTGCACAATTTAGTGTTTTGTTTTGCTGTTGCAACACCAAAACTTCCAACCTCCAACTGCAAACTTAATTATAGTTTATACAGGGTGTCCCAATATTACGTGGAGAGAGAACTACTACGTATTTTTGGAATCAAAATAAGTTCATTGGACACAATTTACCTCTATACAAAAGTGCTTCGTTTGTCCGCTAGAGGGTAATGTTGAGTGGTAATCCGATTTTTATGATTATTGTCAGTGTGAAGATAAATTTATTGGCATTATTTTTTATTATTTTAATGGCTTATATTCTTCGGTTAGGTGGGTTTATACCGGGGTAAATGAAAACGTTGTTTTTTGCAATAAATTCAAAACACCCTATGGAAAAAATGAGATGGGCATTTTGGATAAAAAAAAACTTTCCTGTAATCTTAGATGTATTCCTAACATTTCATTTTTTGAATTATCCCATTATCTCTATTCTTTTATGAGCTACACATTTTTAAGTAAAGTATTGATTTCAGAGATTCTTTTATTGACAAAAACAATAATGTTATAATAATTTTAATAGCGTGTATGTTTACCTCTCGCAGCAATAAACGGCTCAAGGTCGTCGTATCGAATGAATAAGGGTAGTTATTCTTTCTTGATCTATAGCTTCATGAATATTATATACAGGGTGGCGCACCTCATTCGCCTCGGTTGATTATACGAAAACGGAAAGATGTAGAAACAAAATATTTTATGAGTATATGTGGGGAGGCAATGTGCACAATTTAAAATTATTTTGAAATATACAGGGTGTTTCAGAACTAAAATCCATACCAAAGTTATATTTTTTCTTATGTTATTATATATATATATATATATATATATATATATATATATATATATATATATATATATATATATATATATATATATATATATATATATATATATATATATATATATATATATATATATATATATGAAATGAACAAAATTCTTACAGCTTTAGTGTATATTAATAAATAATATTTTCTTGCCTTTAGCTGTGTATTTTCTAATTTCGAAAAAATCGAAAGTAGAGTAAATTAAAATAATAAAAAAAGTAAAAGATAATTGTTTTTGCTTGTCGTAAAGGGAACCAAGCTCCACTCAACAACCGGTTTCTGGGCCTACCCTTCATCAGGTGGGCTGTCCAGGGGCTGGTTCTCACCAGTTGAAACAAAACTTCTTCTACAGACGATGACGATGTCAATGGTGAGATATTAGTGCATCTCCCGTCAAAAGATGGTAAAGAGCGTTTTTCGGCCCGCTCAAATATATGAAATGAACAAAATTCTTACAGCTTTAGTGTATATTAATAAATAATATTTTTAAATTAGAAAAAATACACAGCTAAAGGCAAGAAAATATTATTTATTAATATACACTAAAGCTGTAAGAATTTTGTTCATTTCATATATTTGAGCGGGCCGAAAAACGCTCTTTACCATCTTTTGACGGGAGATGCACTAATATCTCACCGACATTTTACGACATCGTCTGTAGATATAGAAGAAGTTTTGCTTGCCGTATCGGTGAGAACCAGCCCCTGGACAGCCCACCTGATGAAGGGTAGGCCCAGAAACCGGTTGTGGGAGTGGAGCTTGGTTCCCCTTTACGACAAGCAAAAACAATTTTTACTTTTTATTTATTTATTTTTCTCTACTTTCGATTTTTCGAAATTAGAAAAAATACACAAAGGCTAAAAATATTATTTATTATATATATATATATATATATATATATATATATATATATATATATATATATATATATATATATATATATATATATATATATATATATATATATATATATTAATATATATATTAATTTTTGGATTCGTGGGGCCAAAAAAGGCATTTATTATAAGGGTCAAACATGTTTAAAATTTTTGGTTTTTGAAATATTTAAATTTGCATGCTACAATAGAATAGATTATTAACACCCTGTACATTACTTTTCAGAATTAATTCTTGTGCTGAGTTTAAAGGTAAAGAAATAAACTTTACTGAAAAATTGCTTTGCTTCCTTAAATTTATACAGGGGTATCAAAAATTGCTGATCTGTTTTAAGGATTTATTTTATATAAAAACTTCATTATTTCAAATACAACACCTTGTATTTTTTAAAATAAGCCGAAGCAGATTCAAATGCTCTTTCAAACTATATTTGGGTTTCCTATACCTATCTAGCTCAGATTTTGAATAAAAAGCCATTTTTAAATAAAATTGCAATCAAGATGGCTGCGGTCGCCATGGCAATTTTCTATTGACAGTTAGTAACTATTTTCAAAGTCGACATTAGTTTATGGACATTATTATTTATAATTTATAATAGTTTACTTGGATTTACCTACAATAATTTAATAAATAAGTATTCATTATTTTATCTAGAAAAATAAAGCAGTATCTGCTGGCGGAACGAATGGATAGCCATGTAAAAAAGTCAAGTTTCAAGTCAATTCTCAAGTTAATTAATTTTTCTACCTGAAACTTAGTTTAATAGGTATATTTGTTCTATTTTTTACAATAACCATTGTTACGTTTTGAATGTAAACTCATAATATAATAGTGTTTTTTGTTTAATAAAAGCCAGTGTCCAAAAATCACCAGAAAATAGGCTTTTTCAAAAAATTTTCACTATTTCACCAAGTGGGGTCGAAAATCACCAGATCTGGTGAAATTTCACCAGACCTGGCAGCACTGGCCTGGGGGCCTCGCTCTTCTTCGGCTACCGCCGCAATGCGACGATGTATGGAGACGGCGCAGTTGCCACGTATAGCACAAATAATTAGAGACTGCGCAGTTGCCACGTATAGCACAAATAATTATTCACAAATACATATTTAATACATATGGTTTATTAAACAATAGTTAAGGTAAATTAAATAAAAGTAAACTGGTATAAATATAAATAAGTCCATAAACTATTTTCAATTTTGGAAATAGCTGTCAATAGAGAAGCTGCCATGACGATACTAGCCCTCTTGTTTGCCATTTTATTAAAAAATTGCTCTTTATTCAAAATCTGATCTAGATAGGTCTAGGAAACCCTAATATAGTTTGAAAGAGCATTTGAATCTGATTCGATTTATTATAAAAAATACAGGGTGTTGTATTTGAAATAAGAAAGTTTTTATGTAAAATAAATCCTTAAATTAAATCAGCAATTTTTGATACCCCTGTATAAATTTAAGGAAGTAATAACATTTTCTAGTAAAGTTTATTTCCTTACCTTTAAACTCAGCACAAGAATTAATTCTGAAAAGTCCTGTACAGGGTGTTAATATATTCTATTGTAGCATGCAAATTTAAATATCTTTAAATATCTCAAAAACCAAAGATTTTAAACATATTTAACCCTTATAATAAATGCCTTTTTTTGGGCCCACAAATCCAAAAATGAAATAAAATACGGTGTGGTCCATAACAAAAAATATTACTTTGGTATGGATCTTAGTTCTGAAACACCCTGTATATTTCAAAATAATTTTAAATTGTGCACATTGCCTCCCCACATACACCCATAAAATATTTTGTTTCTACATCTTTCCGTTTTCGTATAATCAACCGAGGCGAATGAGGTGCGCCACCCTGTATTCATGATGAATATCAAGCTATAGATCAAGAAAATCCTTTACAAGAGCTAAGAAGGAATCTCCGTTTTTGCTAGCCATAGCTCTTGTAAAGTTTGTGGTGGAATAGGACGACGAAGAACAGCTCTTTAGTTCATCGCACGAATGTTCGATTGGGTTTAGGTCGGGACTAAAAGGATGCCATTCCAGTCTTCGTAGTCCAACCTCATCCAGGTACTTGTTAATTACTCATACTCCTAAGCCCACGGCCACACAGAAAGCGTTTTTTGCGTTTTTAGCGTGAAGCGTCTTTAGCGACTAAAACAAAATAACAGGATTATATAGGAGTGGCCACACCAAAAGCGTGTAGCTGTCGGCGTGTCTCGCAAAAAACGCAAATGAAAACAAATCAGTTTGTTTTCTGTAGCGTCTTTAGCGTTTTCTAAGATGAGACCCGGTCATAGGCGGACGTTATATTTAATAATACAATAAAAATAAATTAAATAGTATGCATTTTTTTCATTTTAGGGTATTATCTAAAAATATTTTTATAAAGAATATCTACTGTTTACGAAGATTCTATTAAATTCAAAAATTTGAAGGAAATGTTTATGTTGAAAAAGTAATAAATTAAAGGAATATTTTCTTACGCGTAAAAAATATTTTTTTTTCTATGCGTAAAAAGTGTTTTTTTCTGTGTAAAAAAAGTTTTTTTTAACAGAAACAAATAGTTTTTGACGCGTAAAAAATAGTTTTTTACGTGTAACAAATAATTTTTTTACACGTAAAAATTTTTTTTGGGGTAAAAGAGTTTTTTACTAGAAACAATAAGTTTTTGACGCGTAAAAATTACTTTTTTACGTGTAACAAATAGTTTTTTATACGTAAAAAATATTTTTTTTGCGTAAGAAAGGTTTTCTACCAGAAACAATAAGTTTCTGACGCGTAAAAAAATAGTTTTTACGTGTAACAAATAGATTTTAACACGTAACAAAATGTTTTATACGCGTAAAAAATAGTTTTCTACCAGTAACAAATACTTTTATACGCGTACAAAAAATAGTTTTTTACGTGTACAGTTTTATTCTGTAAAATAATAAAAATAGTTTTTTACGTGTAACAAATGTTTTTTACACGTAATAATTTGATTCACTTTTACAAAATTTGTATTAAAACATTAATATTTTCGATAAACACGTGGACTGCTCACAAATACACGTCGCGTCACTACGTATTTCTAAGCCGTTAACACGTTTCGTTACAACGAGCTCGTGTGTTACGGCCGTCTCACTAGCTCGTATGTCACGGCCTTGAATTTTTACTTCCAGCACGCGTAAAGAAGTTTCACTCCAAAATGTTTCATAAATCACGTCCTAAAATTGCATTAGCAACTAGAAATATTTACTATTCTATTATATAATTATAATTATTTCTTATATTATATTATAATAATTATAACAAGTACTGACCACAAACAATACAAGATAAAAAAACTATAAACATATAAACTAAAATTCGTAAAATAAATAGCAAATAATAGTTATTATTATTTTTACACACACCACTGGCACTAGCTTGTGTTTGTCTCCGAATATATGCCCCGGCCCGTCCACAATTCAATCCCAGCATCTTCGATCTTCGTCTCTTCAACGTTAACGGCGCCGATCTCGCCTATCCCTTTCTCACAGGATTGATTGTTGGACGGGCCGGGAATCCACGAGCTTGCGACGTTACTAATTGACATCTTGATAGAAACTGCAACAACCTGCCGCGTCTTTTGCGTGTTTTTAATGGACACAAATCGAAAAAAGCGCTTAAAACGGTAAAATCGCAAAAAGCGCTCGAGACGCAAAAAACGCAAAACGCTAAAAACGCTTTCTGTGTGGCCGTGGGCTAACTCGTTATCCCGCGCAACGTGGGGCCTGTCATTATCATGCATCAGTATAAACTGATTTCCAATGAAAGGAGCAAATAGAACGACAACTTCTGGGAGGACATCCTCAATATAACGGTGGGCATTGAGAGCTCCATTTTCAACAAATTTAAGATTGCAAAAATATCAGTACTTTATTTAAAAATGTATAGCTCATAAAAGAATAAAGGTAATAGGATAATTCAAAAAATGAAATGTTAGGAATACCTACATCTAAGATTACAGGAAAGTGAAACATCAAACTTAGTCAAAATTTTAGGATGGCGGAATTTTGTGCCGGGGAGTTTATAAAGACTATCATTGTCAATTAAGAAGAGGTAAAACTATACTTGCGTCTAAAAAATTAATATTCAGAAATTAAATATTGTTTGTGTAAATTTACCTGAAATCTTAATATTCCAGTGGGAGCTTTGGCATATCTAATGGAGTAAAATGCATAATACGTGTTACCGGCAATACTCCATGTTTCTACTCCTTTAACTTGACCATCTGCAATTTGTATTGTTAAATTCTCAGCTGAAATATGCCCCACAACAAACAACACAAACACTATAAGACATTTAAAAACCATTTCGAACAGTGTCACAGTGAATAATGTGGTGCTTTGGAGAATCACCTACTTAAATCCTAATAATATAATCTGAAGTGTTTTTAATGTATATACCAGGAGTACTCAAGTACTAAATTTTTTATCAAATGATATAGCAAAACAAACAAAATAGTGAACATAACATATTACTTTTTATGTTAAATTGTCTTAACAATTTATTTGTAAGAGCACTAAAATTCACTTATTTAAATAGTTGAATTTTATTAGGTTATTCTTCTTCAAAGTATAACATGATGATCACAATACATAAAGAAAAGTTCAGGTATTTATTAACGAAAGATTTATCGTATGCATTTATTTTTCGAATTATACAGGGTGAGTCTTAAATAAGTGCAAATATTTTCAGGACTGGTAGAACTCGATAAAAGAAACATATTTTCCATTAACCGTTTTTCAAATTAATCCAAGATAACCGAGTTATTTTACTTTGAAAATTTCCAAAAAAAAACGATATTTTGCTTAAATTTTGGGAACCACTGGATCTTTTCTGGGTTTTCTTTCTTGTAAATTTTATCTACTACTAGCGTGTACCCGCGACTTCGTTCGCGTCGAATTAATCATTTGTAATGGTGATGATAAAGCAAAGCAAGAATTTTCATTAACATACAAACTGGATAAAAAATTTTCACATTTAGGTCAGCATGAGAAAAAACAATATAGCGATATTATTATATAACTTGCTAATATTTGCGGGGTAGTTTCATCTCGTTGGAATTTGACTTTCGAAAAATCCGTTTGCCAAAAATAAGCTTTTTACGTCAAGCACTTTAAGCAGAATCGTGGTTAATCAATTACCCAACTTTTTGGAACACCCTGTATGATTTTTTAAAAAATTTCTTTTCATTTATGTAAAAAAACAAATTATGTTTGTGCAAGCGTTTTCCCGAAAGACTAACCGTTTTTTAAATAACAAATATTGTAATATTTGAGGGGCGTTTTCACCCTCTTGGAATTTGAGATTCTAGAAACCTGTGCTTATCAAACCTCTACACCACACACAGTCAATCCGTTTGCCAAAAATCAGCTTTAAACGTCAAGCAGTTTAAGCAGAATCGTGATTACTCAATGGTCATATTTTATGAAACACCCTGAAAAAATTTTTAAAAAATCTTAAAATATGTAAAACAACAAAAAGAAATATACGTGTTTAAGAGTTTTTCCGAAAAACTCACCGGTTTTTAAATAAAAAATATTTTGATGTTTGAGGGGTGGTTTCCCCCCTTAGAATTAGAGTTTCGAAAAATCCTTTCTTATCGAACCTCTACACCTTAAAGTCAATCCGTTTTCCAAAAATCAGCTTTTTACGTCAAGCGCTTTAAGCAGGATCGTGATTAATCAATGACCAGACTTTTCGAAACACCCTGTATACGTTTTTAAAAAATCTTAAAATATGTAAAAAAACAAAATAAAATATACGTGTTTAAGCGTTTTTTCGGAAACTTGGCCGTTTTTTAAATAAAAAATATTGTAATATTTGAGGGGTGGTTTCGCCCCCTTGGAACTGGAATTTCGAAAAATCCTTTCTTATCGAACCTCTACACCCTAGAATCAACATGTATGCCAAAATTGAGCTTCTTACGTTGAGTAGGTTGGTTTAAGCAGGATCGTGATTAATTAGTGTGTCAGTCACTTAAGGATTTTATATACCCCGCTGGCAAGCGAACCTTTAGGTCGGCGTTTACATGTATAGAAGTGAATCGTTATGGCAATCTAGTAAGTCGGAGTGAGCAAAAATACGAAGTATTTATTACATAACTACTTAATCTGATGCTAGATTCCATGCGAGTGGGAAAATACTCGCCTTCTGTCTTTATTCAGTATATCTTATTTTACTAAGCGTGTTGGCCGTACTCTTCGTACACATGAAAACCGGCACCCAAGACCAGAAATGCCGACCCTTAGTATTAGTATAGATCTATTTTGCCATATCATCAAGAAATTATGTTTTTAACTAAAAAATTGTGTGTGCACTATGTGCGCATATTTGAACAGCTATTAAATTGGAGGATTTGAAAGATATATATATATATATATATATTATGAATGCTTATATATATATATATATATATATATATATATATATATATATATATATATAATATATATATATATATATATATATATATATATATACTAGCATGTAACCGCGACTTCGTTCACGTCGAATTAATCATTTGTAATTTGTAATGGTGATATGATAAAGCAAAAAGCAAGAATTTCCATTAACATACAAACTGGAGCAGAATCGGTTAATCAATTACCTAATTTTTGGAACACCCTGTATGATTTTTACAAAATTTCAAAATATGTAAAAAACAAAATAAATTATACGTGTCCAAGCGTTTTCCCGAAAGACTAACTGTTTTTTAAATAACAAATATTGTAATATTTGAGGGGCGTTTTCACCCTGTTGGAATTTGAGATTCGAGAAACCCCTCCTTATCGAACCTCTACACCCCACAGTCAATCCGTTTGCCAAAATCAGCTTTAAACGTCAAGCAGTTTAAGCAGAATCGTGATTACTCAATGGTTCTATTTTATGAGACACCTTGTATAATTTTTTAAAAAATTTTAATATATGTAAAACAACAAAATAAAATATACGTGTTTAAGAGTTTTTCCGAAAAACTCACCGGATTTTAAATAAAATATATTCTAATATTTGAGGGGTGGTTTCACCCCCTTAGAATTCGAGTTTGGAAAAATCCCCTCTTATCGAACCTCTACACGCTAAAGTCAATCCGTTTTCCAAAATTAGCTTTTACGTCAAGCGCTTTAAGCATGATCGTGATTAATCAATGACCAGATTTTTTCGAAACACCCTGTATACATTTTTTTAAAAATCTTAAAATATGTAAAAAACAAAATAAAATATACGTGTTCAAGCGTTTTTTCGGAAACTTGATCGTTTTTAAATAAAAATATGGTAATACTTGCGGGGTGGTTTCACCCCTTGGAACTGGGATTTCGAAAATCCTTTCTTATCGAACCACTACACCTTAGAATCAACCTGTATGCCAAAATTGAGCTTCTTACGTTGAGTGGTTTGAGCAGGATCGTGATTAATCAGTGAGTCACTTTAAGAATTTTATATATTAGTATAGATTATTTGAGGGGCGTTTTCACCCTCTTGGAATTTGAGATTCGAGAAACCCCTTCTTATCGAACCTCTACACCCCACAGTCAATCCGTTTGCCAAAATCAGCTTTAAACGTCAAGCAGTTTAAGCAGAATCGTGATTACTCAATGACCATATTTTATGAAACACCCTGTATACATTTTTAAAAAATCTTAAAATATGTAAAACAACAAAATAAAATAAACGTGTTTAAGAGTTTTCGGAAAAACTCACCGGTTTTTAAATAAAAATATTCTAATATTTAAGGGGTGGTTTCACCCCTTAGAATTCGAGTTTCGAAAAATCCTTTCTTATCGAACCTCTACACCCTAAAGTCAATCCGTTTTCCAAAAAATCAGCTTTTTAAGTCAAGCGCTTTATGCAGGATCGTGATTAATCATTGACCAGATTTTTCGAAACACCCTGTATACATTTTTAAAAATCTTAAAATATGTAAAAAAGAAAATAAAATATACGTGTTTAAGCGTTTTTCGGAAACTTGACCGTTTTTAAATAAAAAATATTGTAATATTCCACCCCCTTTTTACACCCCTAGGGGATGAATTTTAAAAAATCCTTTCTTATCTCACGTAAACATCATAAAAGGAACCCCTGTGCAAAATTTCAGCTTTCTAGGGTCAAGGGTTTGGTCTGGGCGTTGATGAGTCAGTATCAGTCAGGACAGTCAGATTTATATATATATATATATATATATATATATATATATATATATATTTTATGAATGCTTTTTATCAACTTCATATAAATTAGAGTTAATATAAAACCGTATACTATTCTAGCTTTATAATTTTATGTTTTTTTAATTTTTATTAAATAACAATAATTCTATCACTCGGCCGGATTGCCTGGCAGCTGTGGTCATTAAACCAAAATACTACTACATCTCTCTCTGACATAATAAAGAGCACTAACTGCTACTAACCAACAATTTGTTTTGTGTAATCTGTTTTTGTTTAAATGTTTTGTTCATTATTCATGTTGGGGATTTAATTTTAAATTAATTTTAATCGTTGAGCAACCAGTATTTTTTTAATTCTTTTGCATAATCAAAATTGTCAGTAATTGTAATTTTACATAACCAAATTGTCCTCTAAATCGCTGTCTTTTTTAGACAGATGTCACTTGTCTTGTGATTATTCAATTCATTATTCGAATTCTCAGAATGTTGTTACCAAAAGTTTCATCTTAAATTAAAATTTTAGTCAATCACAATTGTTTATCTCCATCATTTACCGGATTAATAATACAGAAATTACAGTTCAGTTAAAACAATTCATTATTTATAGTGATTTACAGTAATTTTATTAAATTATACAAATATTCTCGTTGATTATTGGTTTGAACTAAATATGACAGTATCCTCCAATGAAAATGCGAGTTACTAACTCTAAATTCTAATTCTGAGGTGGAAAATGAGCGCTAGATGTTTTACCTAGACCGTTATTCAGAAGCTACAAGCATATCGATGAAAATTGGTACAGATCGTTGGCTCAGTGTTGCCACAAGCTTATTTTTCATCGGAGTAGATTATCACGAGATATCGGGGTTAAATTGTTTCACAAAGGGGTAGATCTACCCCCCGAATGGGGTAGCTGTGACAACACTGCCACTATCATTTTTCCTCTCCCTAGCTAGCCCGTCACGGCCGTCTCGCGGCTGTCATTCAAGACCATGTGTCACGGCTTTGATTTTTTACTCCCAACGCGCTTAAAGAAGTTTCCAAATTTTTTTTCAAAAAATTATAAATTCGTCTAGATTACAGGGATATTACTGAATTTATTTCAAATAATAATAATAAACAACGCTTTATTGCACAAAAAGCCAAAATAGCTTCATCGATAAAGCATTATTTACAAAACAAACAAAG